TGCTGCTGCTCATGGTGCTGCTGCTGCTCATGGTGCTGCTGCTCATGATGCTGCTGCTGCTCATGGTGCTGCTGCTCATGGTGCTGCTGCCTCCCTAATGACAGATGATGAGTTTTTAGCAGTGCTCAGTGAACTGGCCCCGGGGCCATTTGTCACAGGCTGTCCAGAAACAAGCCGAGCATGGAAATGAATTTGTTCATTCACATAAAACAGCCGGCGCAGCCCGCTTAACATGCACCACAGTAACAACTGCTGCCATCACACAACCTGTGCAACAAACACACACATACACACACACATGCAGGGATTCCTCCTGCAGATCTGCACAATTTTCACTTTTTTTCCGTCCCCTCATAAAATCCACCTGGAATCTGTCCACAGCTTCGCATTGGTCACTTTCTTCAACTCCACATAATTCAAAGTTAATCTGCTTATTTTTTTAAAAACATAATCTATATTTATAATATTTTTTAAATCAGCTCCACGCTGAATTTGATATTGAACATGCTCGTGTAAATTAAAGCTCGATGTTCCTCACATGCATGTTTGTTCTCATGCAGCTGCAGCCACATGAAACCGGACATCTCTCTCACCTTTGCAGTTTTAACGAATACATCTTCGCATTCTTCTCGTGCATCAGGTGAGATTTCTCCGAATTAGCAGCGTTATTATCCATGTATTCCTCCTGTCTTCTGTCTGAGTCCAGTCTGAGAAATAATGAGGATTCTCTTCTCTGTTCGCTGCAGGAGTTGAGGGACTCGACAGGTCCAGGTCTTTCTCCTCCTGATCTTCTTCACTGCACGATGGGGAAAGTGGGTGCACACCTCCTCCGTGCATGTGAGCACAGACTCTTCACCACAGACCAATGACTCCCTTCATTGCGGCTCCTGACAGGCAGGAGGAGGAAACCCCGAGGAGGGAGGCTGGAGTTTGGTTGGAGTTGTAGCATCGAACACGGAGCTGCGGCAAAATAAAAAAAAAACCCAGTCAGTGGATATCTAGAGTCAGAGTGATCAGCTGGTTCAGGACAAACATCCGTGGGAACGAAAATCAAACAACTAGTTCTGCACAACGAGGATTGATAATATATCGATAAGCATCAAATCATAGTGAAATGTTTCATTCCGCTTCACAATCTCACAGTAAATCTCACATTTTTAAAATCACAATAAATCTCACGTTTAGGTTTCACAGCCTAAAGATCCATTCACATCAGCTTGATTTATTTTATCCGCATGAAATGAAATTAAAATCTAATTCTGTGCAATGTTTGTATTAAATAATTTTACTGATTTAAAACAGAAAAGATTTATGACATTGCATTGCGCAGATTTGAATAAAAATTTAAAAGACAACATCGGATCTAATAAACCCTCTGTCATTTGTCATGTTTGATATTTATAATGGAAGCGCGATCATTTAAATTATATATCTTCAAAATATAAATGACATTGTGCTGCATTTGTAAAAAAAATATAAATATATATAAATCAAGATTTATTGCAAAAATACACCAACGTTAATAATATAATAAATATATTAAATCTAATTTTATAAATAGATAGATCAATATACCGTTAATTGTCCGTTTAATATAAAAGGAAGTTTTATTGTGTTTATGGATGAGATGTGAATCTTTTTAATCTAAAACTAGTAAATAAATGTAGCATTGAATCTACAAACTGTTCGTTGAATGAATACCTCCCATAGTATTCATGTATAAATACCATAGACTGTATATAAAGGTATATAAATACATAAATACTACATAATACAATAATCAATCAATGCTGCGTTCACGTACAGTGGGACAAACCTCAATGTTTTCTCTCGTGGTGACTCTTCTGGGTTAATTATTCAGTTATTTTGTGAAGTTAAATAGTTTGAAAGAAATGTCTTCAACCAGTAGCGTAGAGAACACGCAGGGCTCTCGCTTTTCAATGATCATATATATATATAGTTTTCTGACTCAAACTTCGCCAACACGTCAGAACAGTAGTTTAAGAGGAAATCTGCACTTTTTAATGACTAGTCGATTAATTGGTGTAACTGGGTCACCGCTGTGTATCCAAAGGAAACAAGTTGTTTTTATATTCATGCCTAAGTTTTATTTAAATCGATGCAGAGGAATTTATTCCCGAATCAAGTGTGAAACCTCAACGAGTGAACGTGCGTGCGCGTTTTTCCGATTCCCATAAACGTTGCGTAGGTTTGCGTCTGACGTCTCCTTCTGACGTCATGACGCGGGCTGTGTTTGTTTTCCGTGCCGCGCAGAGACAGAGACACGGAGACAGACAGAGACACGGAGACAGACAGAGACAGAGACATGGAGACACCCAGCAGCGACTGCAAAGCGGACGAGCTGCCCGCACAAGAGGCTCCGGAGGCGGACAGAACTACGTCCCGGTCCGACAGGTACTGAACGAATATGATGCCAGGAACAACACAACGGCTGCTGAGGCTAGCATGCTAACGCTACCTAGCTAGCTCCCTCACGCGTTGTGTCAGCGTGGCCGCGGTGAACAAAAGACACAACAACACAACACATCGTGAGACACACGTCAGACGCTCAGTTTCACGTGTCACACCCGGCTGCTAGCACCGTGCTAACGCTAGCTACCTCCTTACTGGTGCAGAAACTGTCCATGCTAACGAATGGAACACTTCTTTGAAATAAACAGTGATTTGTGGCTTTCGTGCAGGTTTAGTCTTGATGCAAACTGGTTTCACCACGTTTCAACACAGTCTGGTGAATTCGGCTCGACTGACCAGCAGCTGTGAGTCGTGTGTAGCTTCAGTTGCGTGGCTTCAAGCGCAGGTGAGATGAGGAGGGACAGAAGTGAGAGGAGACTCACGTTTGCAGGATTTGTGGATTAACGCTGGTTTCATGACTCAGTGAGGAGGTGCAGGTGCCAGGATCTGATCATTATCTGAGGTAATTACAGAGTTACACCTCCGAGGAGGATTGTGCAGACTGGGACATGTCCACTGGAGTGGAGGACTTCCTCTGACACGTGGTGTTTTCACAGGTTTATGTCGATGCAGGTTATAACGGTTTGACTGCAGGAAAAATGTAGGTTACAGAAGCTTTAATCCTGAATTCATGCACATGGAGGTAAGAGTGAGTTGTTTCCTGAAAGCCTGTTTCATCTCTTTATTGTATTTATGACAGTGGCAAATAAAATCGTCCCTAAATACGCAGCGATAAACTCTCGGTGCCTCCTTCTCAGTTTTGAAGCTGAATATTTGCTCTTCAATCCAGATAAATATTGAAATCATGAAAAGATTGAGAGGAGCTCACCCTGAGGAGGCACAGACAGTTTGTAGTTTAAAGAGCTCATGATCTCTTGTTATGTACCGGCCAAGTGATGACAGCCTTACTCATGTGAACGGAGGCCCCCCCCCCCCCACCTGTGCTGTGTCCAGGGCAGTGGTGTGATTTCCTGGGGAGGGTTGGAGAGTCCCCCCTCCCTCCCCCTCAACCACACCTACAGTAGACTTCACTGTGGAGAGAGGAAGCAGAGGGAGACGTCAGAGCTCAGACTCCCTCTCGTCTCTCTGCAGGACACACGAGTATCTGCAGGTCCTCACAAGTTAAATAAAAGGCTTTAGACGATCAAACATCTTTTTCTTCCCATTTACAGCTTCATGACGTCGATCAGCTGTATTTGTGAAGAAAGAGGCTGTTTTGGCTGCCGTACATTTAGCTTTGAGGACCCTTCAGATTTCTTGTCATGATTAAAATGCCTGTAGTGGAGCAGCAGCAGGGGGCCGGCTATGAGCTAACAAGGCATCTCTGATGGCAACACGTAACAAAACTAAAATCAAAGTTAACATGTCTGCTGCTGTCGTCTGACTCCGTTATCTGTCGTCTTTAACTTCAGTGGGAGTGGAGACGATTCCTTGGATGGCCTCTCCGACCACGTCCCCCGCTGCCCTTTGACCCCCTCCTTATCGCCACGAAAACGGACCACGAGCCTGTCAAAGACGGAGCCTCCGCTGCTGAGGACCAACAAGCGGACCATCTACACTGCAGGCAGACCACCGTGGTACAACGTCACCGGGACCACTTTCAAAGAGGCTTTCGTTATCGGTGAGACGGAAACTTTATTGTGTTTACAACCATTTTGATTTTAATCGGAGTGGACGTCCAATATTCTGTCAGGGAAGCGAGTGTCACACGTAGAGTGACTTTAACAACTCAAAGTCATCACATAGAATATGAAAACAGCTTTTTACAAAACTTTTTAATGGCCAACAATCCAGAACACCGTCTCATAACCACAAGTGTGCAACAGAAATAAAAAGTAATGTGCAGGGATTCTTGCCTCTGGGGTTTCCTGACGGCCAAGACCACAGTCATACAATACTGCTGTCGCAAAAGTGTGTGTGTGTGGGGGTGGTTTAGGTAGGCGTGTCTTCGCCGGCTCGCAGCACCGCGCTCTAAAGGCATTTTTTGAATTTCCAGGGTAGAGGCACTTACTATCAAATAATACTTAATAATGAAATTGTATTTAGTTTTTTAACCAAACATTCTGGCTTTAGATATTTCTGTGTTGAAACGCTGGTTCATGAGACTCTGCTCTCATTTTTACAGCACGGCCTCCATCTTGCTGATAATCGCAGTAAAATATCGGCCTCAGGACGAGTCCCAGCAGCAGCAAAATGAACCGTGACACATAGACTGTTTGTGTGAGTGTGTGTGTGTGGAGTCAATGTTCCGTGATTAAACACATCAGATAAGCATTAACAGGAATACGTGGAGGGAGAGGTGGACATTATCTTTACTAGGCAATCTGTTACTGTCAATGGCCCTCGGAGACTGGGCACAATTTCACACTCAGCTGTGCCGTGGGTCCGGTTTAAAGGACCAGACTCTGCGGAGAACTCGACTGAGCGTGGACGAAGAGGAAAAACTGTCCTGTATTCGGTGGGAGATGGAGAGAGAGAGAGAGAAAGAGGTGTGGCAGATAAAAGATGTAGAGATAGAAGAAAAGATGGATGAATGAACCAAACGTGGAGTGAAGTGAAGTGGGTAGGAAAACACTGTAAAGCATCATGGATACCTGAGGTTGCTGCTATCGTACATTCTGCTTTTATTGCTAATAGAAAGACTGTTTTATTTGCTGTAACGGACCGTTTCAGTGAACAGGCTCCACGGCTCAGAATGTGTCCCCTGTGCTGAATCCATTGAAACGCAGTGAAGAAGTCAGGAGCTCTGTTTCTAAAAACCCTCTGATGCTGTAATCATACGTAGAAATGAGGAGCACTGCAGAGGATTTTCACTCGTTTCCCAGTCAGCAGTTTTGACCTTGATGGTTCTTATCGGAGTAAAAACCCATCCCAACACTTCACGGAGAGTTGTTTATAACACAGAAGTGGCTCCGTAGGCTATTTCTGTTCCCGTGCACACACACACGCACACGCACAGACCAACAAACACAAAACAAATGCAGCCTGTTTTTCACCTTTTTTGCCAGTCAGCCAGCGTGTCGTGCTGGCCCAGTTCCCAGGATTGTTGTCCTGAAGGATTGCAGTTGTGGTCTTTAACCCAGGAGGTTTTTTTTTTTTTTTTTTTAGCTTCTTCTGAAAGGCTTCACTCGTAGTGACAAACCCACAAAGAACTAAGGCACAGATAAGCATGTACATCCGCCAAACCATCCTACACATTTTTTTTTTTTTTTTTACAGTTGTGCCACAGCTGTTTTTCTTTCTTGTAGTTTTTGACTCCAGCACAAAATATGGCTGCGCCCACAAATATTCTGCTGTGCCAGGCAAAACGTATCACACTGCCATTTTTTAATGCCTCTGCTCAGTGACAGCCAGAGACCGTATGTTTCCTCTCTGGTCGTCCATCGTCATGTGGACATGATTTCCCAACAAAGTCTTGAGGGAACTTCTTCACTGTGGTTCTGTGTTTTCCTCTCAGGTCTGTGCGGAGGAAGTGCTTCTGGTAAAACCACAGTCGCAAATAAGATCATCGAGGCGCTCGACGTTCCCTGGGTGGTTCTGCTGTCTATGGACTCCTTCTACAAGGTATAAAACATCGGTTGCTTTGTTAAAACTCTCCTGTTGTTCATTAAATCAAGAAATATTCGAGATCGCTTGCTCCGTGGACTGAGATAAAAGCCAACACACTCGTCAGTGCTGATTTCAGCACAGTAAGTAAAAAGCCTCGGACTGATAACCGTTCAAACACAGTAGTTCATTTCAATTACACCCCTCTCTCCTCTGAGACTGGAAGTCGATCATTCCTCAGTTCACACTTCTCACTGAGTCAATTTACGTCTGCATGTGTCTATGGATTGCTGCTGCTTGTTGTAGGCCTAGTTAATTTCACACCGGTGAATAAAATAAGTGGGGTGGGCTCATTCTCAAAGGAAAACTCCTCTCTGCTCATATATGTACACACACATGCAGTAATATGTGCAGTAGATATCTCGTGATGTATTCAAGGTCAATGGGTAACGACGTACTTTGCATTCTGGTCTGTCGTGCCTCCTTTTGAGTTTAATTTAACAGATGAGCTGATGCGTATCTTTCATGGCCGGAGGCGTTAAGTTTTCAGGTTTGTCCGTTCATCCGTTCCATCCTCGTGGACGTAATGTCTCAGGGAAGCTCAGAGGGGAGAATCAGTCATGGGAGGAGGGAGGGCAAAGGTCACGTGACCTCACAAACCATTACTTTGGCCATTTCTCAAAAAATCACGCAGTAAGTTTCACAAGAAATTTACACAAATGTTTAAATGGATAAAATAATGACATTTTATTTCCTAAACTTCAGAGTGTTCAGCAGAAGCACGTTTTCTTAACCATTGGTGTACAACTGTGAGATGGTAATTAAGATTAAATATATTTCTATGACATTTGTGACAAACCAAGGGAACAGAAATCCAAATATGAACATCTTTAGTCTGAAGGCGTGCGTCTCTAACTTGTGATGCTGTTTCTGTGTTTTTCAGGTGCTGAATAAAGAAGATCAGGAACTGGCGGCCAAGAACGAGTATAACTTTGACCACCCGGACGCCTTCGACTTCGAGTTGCTGGTCACCGTCCTCAGAAAGCTGAAGAAGGGAAAAAGCATCAAAGTGCCGGTTTACGACTTCACCTCTCACTGCAGACGCAAAGAATGGGTAATTCTTTCCTCACCACATATTGTAACTCTCTCTTTGAGAGGTTTGTGTCCACAGGACTTTATTTACCAACTCTTGTTTAAACGAGAACTCAATCGAGCGGATCTGTCCGATTGTCCAAGACTTGTGGAAAAATAAATACTTTCTTGGTTCTCTCTCTTTTCAGTAGTTTTTGCACAGTCCTGCTGAAAACCAACAAATGGACCGAGGTGAAAATATAAAAAAGAAGAGTAAGAGTGTTGACTAAATAAAAAAACACACACTGTCATTAAGTTTTCAATTGTAATTTCGACGTAGTTTTCAGAAAAGTTGATAACTGACTCATATCCACGTCATCATTATAATTCTCAGTGGGACAAACCATTCCACTTGACTTTAAAGGGGATAATCTATCTTCATAAGAAGACGGAATTAAATCATAGCTGTAAGAAATCACTTAAAACCCCCGGGGACGTGTTAGTCTATAGAGCCGATGCCAATGGGAATTCCTGCTAATTTGCTAATTATTAAGGATCTATTGAACAGCACATGAACCCAAGCAAAGAGCACCGCTCCCCTCCCAGGAGCATTGTGAAGAATCAATCTGGCCGAGTTGCACTCTGACAACTCCTCTCTATTTCTTTGCAATGTAATTTCATGGCTGAAAGACACAACACCATGCGGGAAATCGCCTATCACGACTCGTGACTGTGAAATCATTTCACGGGCCTTTCGTACTGTGTTGAATGTCATTAAGCCTCGGGGGCCCAGGGGCTGCGAGGGCCCGCCAGCTGCAGGCTGTATACACTCCCTGTGTTTATGTGTGTGTTGGAACAACGAGAGGGCCACACTCTTTTTTTTTTTTGTTTCTTATTTTGTAATAAAGCTGGAGGTCACCTTCTCTCCTTCTCTGACTCTATATCCGGCACAAACACTTAAAGACTCACTGAATCATCTCTTGGAAAAGAAAAGGGAAATGAACGAATCGATAAACACTCAACTCTTTCTTCAGATTTCACTTTACCTCTTTACACACAATCTTTCCTGCTCTCTGTCTCTCTCTCTCTTATTCTTTGTTCATTCTCTCACTCTCTTTCTCTCTTTCTCAAAATCAATACCAAAGTGTCCAGTCCATTGACTCGAGCATGAAGCCGGTAAGAGGAAGGTAATAGGATCGTGACAAGCTCAGCACCATTTTGTCTTTGATAGAGGGAGTGATTCATTTCTCTCGCTCCCACACAAACACGTTCACAAACAGTCGCTCGCCTCGGTTGTGAAACCGGTTCACGACGAGGTTCATCAGATAACGAACACGAGAAGAGCTGCATGAGGTTCTCCTGTATTTCTTGGTGTCATGTCTATGAGTCTATTTGAAATATTTAAAAAACGCTGGCTGTGGAGAAGAAGTTTGAGATCTGACGTATTCGCGCAGTTTGATTTGGTGGAAACTGAAAGTACTGAAGTAAAACAACGAGCAGAAACTTCATTCTCGGAGGATCTTATCAGACTTTGCTGCAGGACGTTGACGTTTAATGAGTTGAAGCTGATATTAAATCAATATCTATTTATTCTCCAGAAAACAGTGTACGGGGCCAATGTCGTCATCTTCGAGGGGATCCTGGCCTTCGCCAACAAGGAGCTTCTGAAGGTAGCAACAATATAATATGATAAACTGTATAATCCTCTTCCTCAGCATCGCAGCATTACACTAATCTGCAGCCTCCACTCTTTGCTCATGTCATTGTTTTTATACCATACACTTGAAATGTTTACTCACATAAACCCATTCAGTATTTAATTCTAGTAGTTGTGCCATGAGTGATGATATTCTGGTTTGAAAAAGGAATACACACAAACGCATTTCTCATTTAAATCCACGAGACTTTATCGTCCCCCGACAGAAATTAGTTTTCGGTGCAGCTGAAATCCGTCAGGAAGCAGCAGACCAGGTTTACGAGCAGGAAAGAATCCTGCAGTCCGAGGAAAAACCTCTGTGCTCTGAACGCCAGTCGTCTTTATGGGAGAGCGGGGGGGGGGGGGGGGGGGGGGGGGGTTGTGTGTGTGTGTGTGATCTGGACCGTGGTGATAAGGCAGGCAGCCCCCCCCCTCCCCCAGACCCATCTGTGTAGTTGATTATCCTCATAATAGCCATTGTCCACAGTGATTAATTGTGTTCTGTGTCCATTCTCGGAATTGAAGTCAATTACAGCCACAGATCTGATATGCTAATGAAGAGATGTGATTTTTACAGACCGAGAGGCTGCGGACACACACACACACTCAGTTGGCAGTTTATTAGGTACACCAAGCTAACGCTAATGCAGCTTAATAAAACAGTAAATCTTGTAAATATTCGGTCCCTGATCTGGATTCTCATCAATAATGAATCACCTGCACCACATCCTTGCACCGTGTAGTTGTTGTTTGACTGTGAGGTAACTGAGCCTTCCTGTTGGAGCAGGTGAGAAGATGATCTACAGCTTCAGCCGTGCTCTCTAACCTTTAGAAACAACCCTCTCCTCATTGACCTCCGTCTCCAGGCCGACAGCCGTGCTCATCCAGCAACGTGCCATCTTTTGTTCAGATTTACAGCAGACGGGATCCAGCGGCTTGTTGTGCGACTGAGTTATACCTGTATCCCACCGTCCTGCTCGTCTAAATCACTCACACGCTCCTTTTTCATCCACCTGCTCATCAATACTTCTTTTTGTGAGCGGAGCCGACGCCTCTTTGTTGTTCCTCCTCCGTTGTGGTACTGCCTCATTGATTTTTCCTGGTTTTTGCTGAGTTAAGGTTCAGTTTGATCGAGCTCAGTGGACGGATCGTCGTCCGACTTTCTCTTTTAACGGTGACAACGATAACTGATGTCTCCTCGGTTTACACTTCTGATCCTTCGACGTGGGCCCTAACCCCGGCGTCGTGTTTCAGCTGTAAAAATGTCAAATCACTGAAGCAGCTCAAAGAGGTTTTTCACTGTCTGTTTCAGGACCGTCAGCTTCTCTGACAGAGCTTAAACCTGAAGCTTACTCGGTCTCTTTCTACGCACTGATACTTAACGTAATGCACCAGGGTCCATGAAATTAATCCATTTATCAAGCAAATGAAAATCAAATGAATTCAGTCGCAAAACAACGTCCAGTTCAGCTTCTCTAATCTGAAACAAATCTTAATTTAAATTAAACATCTTTGTGTTTTGCACAGCCGGTGTATGGTTGTCCTGTTATGTTCTACTCTGCTGGTGTTGGTGCTTCTTCTTCTCCACACCTTCTGTTTTCTCACTGAGATGTGTGGAGTCACATAGAAGCCTCGAAAAGCTGCACAAGACATGTTTCAGAATTCCTCCCCTTCTCCGTCTGTCCCCCAGCTTCTGGACATGAAGGTGTTTGTTGACACAGACTCCGACATCCGCCTGATACGGCGGCTGAAGAGGGACATTTCACAGCGTGGACGGAACATCGGCGGCATCATCAAGCAATACAATAAGTATGTGAAGCCGGCGTTCGAGCAGTACATCGAGCCCACGGTGCAGGTCGCTGACATCGTGGTGCCCAGAGGTCTGTGGAAATCTGATGTGTCGTTTAAAAACAGTTTTACTTTCCCTGGTGTTTCAGTTAAACACGTCTCTAACTCATTCTTACTCGTTATTTACAGGAGGGGAGAATTTCGTAGCGTTGGATTTAATCGTTCAACACGTTCACAGTCAACTGGAGAAGGTAAGAACTCCTCTCAGTTTTTCAACTTTTGTTTCGCAGTCTGTAGATTAGATTTTGCAGTTTTCTGTGAATACGGCTTTTATCTCGGTTATTTTCACTCTTAAGATGGTTAATCTTTGTTCAGGCTGTGAAGTCTTTTATAGGGAGAGTGCTGCCTCAGCTTCAACGTGTGCTGATAAGAGTAAACCAGTTTATTTTCTAGAATCTGCAGTTGATTCTCCATAAAGAAAAGTTTAACGTGACTTGGCTTTATGATGGTGAAAATAATAAATTCTTCTACTAAATTACAAAACTTGGACGCTCATCAATCATCTGACAGAGTATTCTGTCCATGCGCAGTAAAATGTGCTGGAATACGAAGTTAAGAAAAGCCTCAGAATGGTCACTCTGATCCTCCGCTAACTTGAAACCAGAGAAACTTCTTGGTTTCAAGTTGAAGTGTGAACGTGGCCTGAGGTTCTTTAATCGCAAAACTCCTGTGGGTCGTAAATGGAAGTGAAACAACCGTCACAGTAAATCCACTGAATTCACAAGACGTACAAATAAAAACAATGTGTTGACCCAGGTGTAGAACGTGATGCTAACATTTAGTGAACAGGAAGCCAAGCTCATCACAATAGAAGATCTAATTGGATGAGTTCATAATCAAACATGTAGAAACTTTTTCTGCACCGAGTTTCCCCGCCCCCCCTCACAGAACCTTCGTTAGAATGTCTTCAAACTGATTTATTATCCCTCGTGCTCGCTGTCGGGTCGGTGGGGAGAGCAGCTTCAGTCAAAGATGCTAAGTAACGTTAAAACATTTCATCAGCCAGGTCTGAAATCGATCTGAAGGCTCCTTAGGAAATTTCTTTCTGGACTTCAGCTTGTTGGAAGGTATTTGTTTTACCACTTCCTCCCTCTGCTGGTTGAAAGAGGTAACTGATGGTCAGGCTTTCCAACCGGGATGAGCGATGTGGCGTTCACTGTCACCGCTTCAGGAGGAAAATCAAGCTCACTGATCGGATCAAACCGTGGGTTTACGTTCATGACAATATTTACTTCTCTGAGACGCTCTCTTCTCTTCCCTCTGTACATCTCTGAACGTGGTGAGAACCTGAGATTAATGATCCTGTGAGAGAGCAGAGGTTTATCTTTACTCACACACACACACACCGTACCATGATTTGTTCCACCTTTAACATATTCATGCACGGCCACAGGCAGAGCACACGTTCCCCACATACAACACCTCCATTATGTAACATGGACGCTTTTATTCCTGTTATTTATTGAATCTTCACCTGAGCTCCTCGGATTATAAAGATCGTTGTTGTTTCTAAACAAGGACGAGATTAAATTACGTTTTATAACTTGTGCCACAAAGAAAAATATTCAAATGTATTATCAGTTAATGTCTTTACTTCCTTCATGAAGTTGTTGTACAAGTTTAAACAGACAAACATTTATTTTGCTTTAAATGTTTGAAAAATTAATTTGTGGATTTGACACTGCAGATGATATTTTCTGAACAATATCTTATCTCATGTTTTCTTATGTTTCTCACCCGTGTGTGTGTGTGTGTGTGTGTGTGTGTCGTGTGTGTGACCCCCCCCCCCCGCCTGGCTGAATGCTGTGTAACCATTCCAGCGTGAGATCACTGTGAGGTACGACTGTCAGAGCTTTATTTTTTTGTGATCACTCCTGCAGCTCCTCCCTCTCACCTCCGTTTCCTGCTGTGATTGTTCTCTGTCTTGAAAACAAAGATGCCACGAGCTGCTGAGTTTTACTTTTTAACTCGTGAACAAAACGTTATCATCTGTTAATATCGGCCCCAAAAAATCCATATCGGTCAGCCGATTTAAAAACCCCTGCAGCAAACAGACATTAAAAACATAAAGTGTAGTTCTTGAAGAACACGTTGAGCCGCTCCACTGCGTCTGTGACAATATGTGATTACATCTCCTGCTGTTAGAAGGAGTCCGATCAGTCGTGTCCACTTCATTGGAGACAACAGATATAAAAGTAAAAACAGTAAAACCGGGGAACAGGAATAAATGACGGACACAATGAAACCAAATGAACCTGGTCTCCCTTCACTCTCCTGCTCCTCAGCTTCTTTCTCTTCTCAACACGGTCGGACCAGTCTTCACTAAAAGTTATGAACCTCGTCATGAGTCTTTCCTGTTTCCGCTTTCACTCCGCCGCACTCAGACGCATCCAAGCAAGAACTCTGCACAAAGATAAACTTGTGATCTTCTACTTAAGCCAGTGGGAGGTGACTGATACCTTAGATATAGTTTGTACGATACATAGACTGTAAATAAAGTTGGACGAGGCGATATATCATCAAACAACTAATTAAAAACAAACTTCTTAGAAACGTGTTGGATCAGAAAACATGGAGGGAGCGGGTTTGTGTTTCTGCGATGGAAAAACTTTAAGTTTAATAGAACAAATGACAAAGTTGAATCCTCAGACTTTGGGTAAAACCTGCGTCATTAAAGTAAAACAAAAAGAGGTGCCTGGTGTAGAAATGTATTTCACAGTCTCCAGGTGAAAGTTGGTTTAATGGTTTTTGTCGCCGTTCTCTAAAGCTGAGATCGATTCTGTGCTCAGTGAATAAATGTGGAACTGAGGCTCCTCTCAAAGCTGCACTAATAATAATCAATGATCTGTGTTCTATATAAACCTAACCGAGCTATGTGTTGCACAGACCGCGGCGATGCAGTGGAGCTGTTTCTCTCCTCTGACACTGTTCTTTCTCTTCCTTTCACTTCTTTAATTTAACTCCTCTTCCTGTCCTGTATTTCTTTATCTCCCCTCCCCCCCCTCCCACTTTTAATCACTATATTGCACCAAATGAAAATCCGTCACCTTCTTCAGAGGAAGCTCCGCTGGGATACGTGAGGCTCCCTTTGTGCATCCTCATAGTTTTCGTTCTCTCTGGCCTCTTGCTGTGCGTCTCTAACCGACACCGATGCCTTCGATGATATTGTCAAGGCCTTTTATTAGAGCCTGACTGATTTATCGGAGGACCAGTTCTATCATATCGGTATGAACGTCTGTTTGCTGATATGAAAACATGTTTTACACAATAACAAAACAGAAGAATGTGCATTTGTTTGTATTTAAAATAGAAAAAAAACATATATATATATATCGGCCAATAAATCTGTATCAGAAATGGTTTTACTCCCTAATATCATGATGAAGAATCGATATCAGTCGGGCTCTTTTGGATGTTAAAGCAAAAGCATGTTTGATTTCTTTCTTTTTTTTACGGATAGTAAGAAGCATGCAAACAAAACATTGGCGACAGAAATCAAATTCTCATCTTGTTTCATGGCTCGTTCACATTGAGAGCATGTGTGTGAACACGTATGTGCCACATTTACTACTTTACCTGGTTCAAGGTGATGGTGCACACACTGAGACATGACTCGATGCTTCCTGGTTGTAATGATGCAGGACGTCCTGCTCATGTCGTTTATAAAACGCTGTGATGTAAAAAATATGTCTGTACATTCAGAGAGAAACATTAACAGAAGGAAACGAGTCCGTATCATTAAGTTAGAGGTGAAGTACCGACACCTTTGGTTGTTTCTCTGCTTGGAAAAGAAACAACATTGATTTCTTTGACTTTTCTTTGACACATAAAAAAGCCGCATGTTCATTTTCTTTTGGATCGCAGCTGCTTGTCTGACAAAATTTGACTACTCAAGTTATCTGTTTTTATTTATCAGTGCCGCGTGCAGACTCAAACAACCACAGGCCTAATTTCTATTAGTATAGAAGAAGATATGAGGTCACTAACTTCCTTTAAATAGGTGAAATTGGACACCGTGTCTTAATCAGTCGCTAAAACAAAAACGTTTTGTCCTGTTAATGTCTTATGATCGTTTTAATTATTTTCGGAAAGAATTTTATCAGGGAAAGACTCACATTTATCATCTCACAGTCCAAAATACTAAGTGATAACTTTAGTGGTCAAACCTTATTGTAAATCAAATGAACTTAAGGATAGCATTAGATGAAGACAAACGTTCTTCTGTGTTAATTCATCGTCCCTGACGTCAGCGTGACGTTTACTTTGTGTGTGTGTTTGCCACAGATCGGCTCTGGCCTCGGCTCATCAGGGTCAGCCGTTACCCGAAACCCTCAGTGTAATGGAGAGCACGCCGCAGGTCCGCGGCATGCACACCATCATCAGGTCAGAACACACTTTCACACTTCACGAGCATTTAACAGTCTGAAGATATTTACACTCCCTTAAAACTGGAGGAGCTGAACAGAGAAGTCAAGACGGACACAGCAGAGACGTCCTGACTTTGACTCACTTGTGTGTTTCAAGCTTTTACAGTTTCTCACCAGTGACAAAATATTTATCGTCCCCTCGTCATGTGTTTGTGTAGGAACAAGGAGACAAACCGAGACGAGTTTATCTTCTACTCCAAGAGATTAATGAGGCTTCTGATCGAACACGCCCTCTCCTTCCTACCTCTCAAGGTGGGTCTTGTGATTACCTGACCTCGTGCTTCCATTTAAAGGTCGAAATATCTGTTCTCTACTCAAAACTGGAAGAGTTAGACTCCTGCAGTCAGTTCAGTCAATTCAAAAGTGAACCGTACTGTGTTTTGTTCTTTAACTGAGAGTCGGACGAGTTGTTTCACTTCCTGTTTTCTTTGATTCTTTCCATCTCTGCGTCCCTTTGTCTCTGCAGCCAGTTTCTGTGGAGACGCCTCAGGGTGGCGTCTACGACGGCAAGAGGCTGAACGGCAAACGAGTGAGTCGGCTTCTATTCTGCTGTTCGACACAGTTAAACCTCTTTTCATGAAGGTAATGTTGAGTTAATGATATTGTTTGTGGTCATCGAGCTCGACTCTCCAGTTGGTGTTCAGCCTCTCAGCACAAACCCAGTGTGCATCAGGCTGTGATCAAAGTGTGGAAACATTCTCGGATCCAAATAAGCTGCTGCATCATTTCATCTTCTGAAAAATGTTTAATTCCTCTCATCTGTGTTTGTGCAGATCACCGGCGTCTCCATCCTGAGAGCAGGAGAGACCATGGAGCAGGCTCTGATGGCCGTGTGTAAAGACATCCGACTGGGAAAGATCCTCATCCAGACCAACCATGACACTGGAGAACCAGAGGTTTGGGACTTTTAGACATTAAAGCAAACCTGTGTCTGTTTTCTTCACAGTCTCTCGTGCTGTAAAGAAGCATTGCCTCACAAAGTTAAACATTTAACTGTAAAATGACGTTTAAAGTTCAGTTATATTCAGCGTCACAGGATTTCAGATCAGGTCTCTCAACAACCAGTTTCTTTTTTTTCTTTTAAATGTAAAGAAAAGTATTAAATAAATATTTTTTTTTTTCAGCGACTAGTTTAACAAGATTCCGTTAAAAGGTAAAGTTTCAGGAAAGTGTTTGTTAAAATCGGGTTTGGTTTTTCTTTGTCGTCCTTTAGCACAGATGCGTATAAGCTATTTGCAGACCTGCACTAAACTCCAGAACGATCTGGTCATGAGAGAAAACAGCAGGAGATTCACCTCAAATTTTCTTTTTCGGTGATTTTAATTTTACAGAACAGACTGATTCAGGTTGTGAAAATCTTTTTACCGTCCTGTTTCCTTCGTCCAGCTTCACTACCTCCGTCTGCCCAAAGACATCAGTGAGGACTACGTCATCCTGATGGACAGCACCGTGTCCACCGGAGCGGCTGCCCTCATGGCGGTCAGAGTTCTGCTGGTGGGTGAACGCCTCGTCGGACTGGCTCTGAGAAAATGTGTGAACTTTCCGGTCCTCTTCACGTCACTGTGTATAATTTAGTCACTCGTGTAAAAAAAAATCTAGAATAGACGACGGGGCTGTCTCGACCCTTTCCGCAGTAGATGCGTGTCATGTCCACGTGTGTGAATGGATGATGATGTGTGCTGCAGCTGTGTGGTAAACTCTTTTTCTCCATCTTAAATCTACATCCTCTGTGTCTCTGTGTGAAGGACCACGACGTAGCGGAGGACAAGATCTTCCTGTTGTCCCTGCTAATGGCAGAGATGGGCGTGCACTCGGTGGCCTACGCGTTCCCTAAAGTCCGCATCATCACGACGGCCGTGGACAAAGAGGTCAACGACCAGTTCCACATCATACCAGGCATCGGTGAGGCCTTTTTCTTTCCCTCTCGCCTCAGGCTGCCGTCTGTCGTAGACAAAGAAAGAAAATGATCAATCGATTGAATAATCAATAGAATACTCAATTAATAACTTCTATTAATGTATTTCTGTCTGTTTATCTGTTTGTGACAAGACGCACATGAGATGAGAACTCATCACATTCACGTTTATCTACAATAAATCAACTTATTCCTGCAGCTCTGAGTCTTCTGTCATTTCACCTGCTGCTGCGTCAACTTCACTTTCTCCTCCTCAGGTAATTTTGGAGATCGTTACTTCGGCACGGACGCTCCGTCGGACTGGTGTGAGAGTGATGAGGGGATGGACTTCTGAGGAGAGGACCAATCACAGACGTGGAGAGTTGTTACAAACGCACTTATCTGTTTAAAGATGCTCAGACCTGCTCGGCTCCGTCTCCGTCCTCCTGACCGGTGAGGTGACGCTGCACGAACTGAGCAGAGTTCAGCGTTAGGTCAGCGAGGAGCTCGGTCCACTCACGCCAGGCAGGTCTCAGTCCATTCCCCATTCCTGTTTACAAGTGTGAAGAGGTCAAAGTGTTCAGTGTTACCTCTCACGTGGATATTCTCTGGCTTTGACGTCTTTTCACACGCCGTCAACCTACTGAGAAGAAATTATCATGATGTTGAAACGTGTTGAAGCTGCAGACTCGAGTGTTTGCGTTCCTCTCAGGACTTTGCTCAGTACGTGTCTTTGTCCTCCTCAGCCAGACGTCGTCAGTAAAGCTAGAGCGACGCTCGGTTTTAATCACAAGGTTCAACAGCTGGAGTAAAAGCAAAACACGTAATAACCAAAGTTTGCACAAAGACACGACCCTCCCCCTCGTCTGAGTCTCTGTCGTTAACATAGTAATATTAGTGATTATAATATCATGAGTGTATTTGAGCTGCTGTACTGTTCTGTCAAAACTGTGTTTTCTCAGGCAACTTTCACTGAAAGGGACGAAGACGATCCGTGAACTTGAACAACGTTAGCGTAGCATCGACACAGAGCCGTGACGCTCCTCTGTTTGCGCGACTATAACAAAAACACTAAGTCGCCCATTTAGCATTTAGAAGCACCGATCTAAAAAATGGTTTACGACACATTTCAATGTGGGCGTGTTGTTTACGATGACTCCTCCTGGTGCAGTAACAGATGCAGTAACACTAGTAAAGTACAGGTGTCATTATTTAAAGTGTCACTAAAGGAGGAGTTATGAAACAAACTTCACGTTCTTCTGTTTACATCAGACGTGAGGCACCAAGCAGATCTCATGTTGCCTTCGTGTTTTTATAGGAAATAACATAAGAGCAAATTATTAGACGTGGGAATAATAGTGTTATAAAGAACTAATTATACAGTGTACTGTTTATTAATGCTTTTAAACAACTGCCTCAAAGAAACAATGTCTGATTCCACTTTAGCTGCTAACGGCCGTGTAGTTATAAGCCAACACTTTATTTTACAGTGCTCGTCAACATGGTGTAAAAACAACAACTGACAGTTAAATAACCCGATGACCTCGTGGACCAGGAGCTGGAGTCACACCAGGTTTTCTTTCTGGTGTAAAATCATTTCAGTCGGTCACACGTTCGAACCTCTCTATTTGTTTTTCTTTGTGAGGAGAGGATATAAACCAGACTGATTCATTATCTTAATATTTCTAATTATTTATTGTGTTGAGCATCTTGTTGAAAATGGAATCACTGCCAGGTTTTCCACATTACAGTTTGTAGCGTGAACCAGCCAGAGTCTGTGCAGCAGCGAGGTCCCCCTCGACCAATCGCAAGTCAGTCACAGCTGTCAATCACGTCGCTTCATCCAGTTCTGATATCATCAAAAAACGAATTCACCAGAAACGTGACAGAAACTATCTTTAAGAAAACTTTATGTGATTAGTTTGGACAACGTCGTGTCCAGTAACATGGAGGAGGCTGCTTTAGATTCACCTACGAGGAGCTGTTACACTATTTATCTTTAAACTCAGTCTGTTCCAGGTCTTGTCAGACCAACACCAGGTTTAATGACTTTGAAACAGGTTGAACTAGAAACTCATTCACTGGAGTTCATTCCTCCGCCCGACAACTTTCCCTGCAGCAGTTCACACCCTCACAGACGGGCGGTTTATGTTCATGCACCGGATCAATAACCCAAGGTCACAGTTGAACCTGTTCTCGAATCGAATGTGGAAACTTCTCCCTCTGAGCTGAGGGAGCAACAAACTTCAGAACTCGGCTGCTGTCACTTTTATCCGTCCTGCGTTTCCCAACTTTTTTTTAATATATGGAAGCTGATTATCTGAAAACAACTCAAACATGTTGCTAATTTAATGAACCTTATTCACAGCGGAAAACATCACAGGTCCAAAAAATTCCAAGACGGGAAAGAGGCGGAGCTGTGTTCCTCTCAGATGTTAAGATTTCCTGCTTTCCTGTTTTATTGAACGTGACACTGAACGTCTTTGAGTGTTGAAATGTTGGTCGGACAAAACAAGACATTTTTTATTATCGTTAATTGAGCAATTGACGGACATTGTGTGAAGATGAATTGATAATGAAAGTAATCGTTGTGTGTCTGTTTGTTTTTATTTCGTTTTTTGTAAATCTCTTCTCACTCGTACAGAATTAAACAACACTACACCAACAACTGTTCTGACTGAGACCAAATGTAATTTTGTATTTTTCCAGTAGAGGGCAGTGAAGGCCACATTTCCCTGTTTGCAGCGGATGTGACGTACAACTGCAGCTCTCATGCTGCCTTCACGTTACGTAGGAAATAACTCTTTTAAGATTTGTTGACTATGTACAATCCAGTAAATAGATTATCAGTGATAATTCTATCGCGATGACAATCATGTGTTTTGTTTTGTCACCTCGTCCAAACCGAGAGTTCCCCAAAAAAAAAACCCTTTCCTCGAGTGCTTCCTGTGAAGAGTGACACATCTACAGAGCTGCAGCTCCCATAAGTCCGAGCTGACGTTGTGACAGTGAACGCAGCAGCAGCAGCTCAGTCAGAGGAGTCTCAGGCGAGTCCACGTTTTATTTTATGAACATTTGTATTTCCTGTGTTTTATGAATCGACCCTGAAAGCATCACAAGGTGTCGAGCTGCAGCTCTTTGTTTATCACGTGTTTGTTTGTTTGTTTGTTTGTTTATTTTAAAGTTGTAACATTGTTTCTTGGAGATTCTTTGATTTCACGACTTGTTTGTTGTTTCGGACTCGATTCGTTCGTTGCGATAAAAACTTTGCGTGAGATTTTACACGTTTAACGTGAGCTGAGCCAGACCTCATTAGAAAAACCCCACATTTTAACGTGTCCTTCAATGTTTGTACATTGTCGTGTGAGGCAGGAAATATTTTATGCTTTTTAATAAATCAGTTGAATTTTCTTTTCTATTCGGCACCATGCATTTCTCAGGTTAATGAAATCTTCACTTCATTTCAGTTGTATAAACATTTGAATCCATTGGACTGTATATGATCTATAACGCAGACTGGTTATGAAACAGATTTACTTTTTTTATATGTTAGATTCTTCACTGACTTATTCTCTCTGGAGGAAAACTTCCTGCAGCTCGAGTTAAACTAATCAACTCTCTGGCTGATGGATCAAGTCAGGGCACTGATTAGCAGGGTCGCTTGATTTGAGTCACATTGGCTGCCTGTGTGTGTGTGGGGGGGGGGGGGTCATATAATTAATCCAACAGATTTAAACAAACAAGCTATTCATGTTTTCAATCCTCAGAAAAATGTATTCTTCCACAGTCAAACTCCGACATTCAAACAAACGTCTCTTAAATCACTTTTACTCTCCTGAAACTAAAACTAACTCGGGACACAACTTGAGATTGATCCTGATTGACTCTGAACATTCCTTGTATTATTCTCTAACATGTCTGATCATGTAGTTTCATCTTGTGGTGTTTGATAAAGAGTTTCTCTGTGTTTGAACCCTCAGGAGGAGGATGGCCGGTCTGTGGAGATCCTACCAGGCCCTGATGAGCAGATACCCCTGGACGGTTCAGATAGTGACGGCCGGTACGTGTCTCACTCTTCATATTAAACCAACTACGAGTCACAGACCGGGGGCCCGACATCTTTGACCTTTGCTCTGTGAAACAACCTCAGTTTTTTTAAGTCAACACTGACACAGAACTTTGAACCAAGGGGAAGAAAATGGCTTCACGTCGGTGGTAGTTGCAGGTTTCGAGCTCAATCTGTCGCCCGCACTCTGATGGAACCACGTTTATATTCACTAAATCCAGATTTTTATCTGGATCCACACCGGATCACACTGATCAAATACCAGCTGCCTAAATCTGTTCTTTCATCAGGAGCCACGAACGATTCCCAGTGAAAAAATCTCAATCACAAATCACTTAACTGAATGTAACCTGTTAGTTTGAGCCGGTGCAGTGACATCAAACCACCTCTAGATGGAGGCAGTGTGCTCCTGATACATGAGAACTGACAGTGCAAAAAATATATATATATATAAATACATAACAGAAGATAAAGAAGATGGCTCTTGAATTAAAGAGCTGGACGACAAATATCTTCACAAAAAACCTTTAACAAACACGTTTGTGTCTGTTCGTGTTTTTTTAAATGGAAGTAGAATCAGTCAGTGAAGTTAACAAAGTGTTATTTAACTTGTTTGAAGCAGTTTAACAGTAAAAGCACAAACAAATGAACCGAGAACATCAAATAATCTTTTATCAGTTAGTTGCATTTGTGTTTATTTGGAATTCATTTAAATCAAACTCTCAGTGAATGTGATTTTGAATCTGTCGTAACATCAACAACGTGATTTTTCCCAGGGTCTCTCGTGGGACTCGGTGATGTCATTTCCCAACAGTTGATCGAGAGACGAGGACTCGCTCAACACAACGTGAAGCGGACGGCCAAGATGATGAGCATCGGGTTCTTGTTCGTGGTGAGTTTGCGTTTTGGTGAAACGATGAACATGAATAAATAAATCAGGGTGATGAGTTGTTAGCAGATAAAACCTAAACTGTAACTCAGGACGCGTGAAAAGTGAAAACGTTATTTTGGTCCGTGTTGCGTGTGCTAACACGGAGGAGGCAGGGTTTATGAGCTGCACTGCAGCCAGCCACCAGGTGGCGATCCAGATGCTTTGGGTCATTGATGAGTCGTCCATCTTTATTTTCAGTCTATGCTCAGGACACATGGATTATTATTATTTTTTAAATGTGAAACATGTTTATCAAACTAAATCTATGAATTCACTAGAGAATCAAAATCCATGTTTGCTGCTCCGTGTGAAATCCACGCGTGTCGTTAGGTCTGTACGTGACGTCTGTTTCTATTCTGGTGTGCGTGTAGATTTATTCACATGTCCTTTGTATGTTCGTCACATCACAACCTGTGACAGCTGCACAATCCTTCTCTTCATCGCAGTGACGAGGACAAAGTTTATTTATATTTCCATAATCGTCTTACGCTCCACCAATCAGCCGCCTCGTCTTTTTACATTGTGCAGAGAAGACGTTTGTCTTGAAATGGTCAGTTTACTATGTTTCACTGAAGTGTTTCCACGGCAGCTAGAATTATCTTCATTCATCCAGATGCAGCTGTTTTATAATTCATTCTGCCTCGTGTGTAAATCATTTATATCGTTTGTTAGTTTACGGGATGAAGTTTCCCTCAGAGTCTCTGACCTCAGTGAGAACGGACGTCAGCACGGTCATCACACGTGTTTGTGTGTTAAAGGGTCCGGTCGTCGGGAGTTGGTACAAAGTTCTGGACAAAGTCGTCGTTGGAGGAAGTAAAAGTGCAGCGATGAAGAAAATGCTGCTTGATCAGGTGACGATTAAAGTTTTCCTGCTTCGTCTACTGCGACAACTTCTTTCCCTCCTCTTCTTTTTTCACTCCCTCCTCTTCCTCCTTTTCTTCTTTAAAACAAAACACACTTGTTCAGTAGTAAAAATATTCATTAGTTCTAATTTATTGTAGTTTTTCATTTGTTCAAACACTGAAACAGAAAAGAATTTAAAAAAAACATATAGACAGAAATTTGACTTGACTCAAAAGCAGAAGTGGAGAAAATACTCAAGTAAAAGTACAAATAAACAAAAGTACACTAACGACTACCAACTGTGAAAGTACCACAGTAACTATCGTACTTGAGTAAAAGTAAATACTGCTGTTTGACCCTCCCCACTCTGCCCCCTGGTGTTTGATTGTATAAAACTACAGCAGAACAGATGAAACCACCACAGGACGACTTCAGAGCTTTCAATACGTCGCTCTGATAAATATTTAACGCAGAGCAAAGTGTTTGCTCGTACGCTGCCTCTCCGTATATACGTGATAACCCGAGAACCATTTGGTGACTTGAAAGATTTAAGGCGATGCAGCGTCTGATGAAGCGTTTCACACGTTTCCTCTGAGCCTCGTCAGCGTGAGGCAAAATATACAAAATCCAGCGTAGAGAAAATCTATATGTTTGTCTCTATGTATATTTGTGAGATTCATATTAAACCTCTGATGTTCTGAGGACGCAAAACAATAAAAGCTTTTTATTTATCTAAATATAAAAACTCAATAAACCAAAGCAAAGTGTTGAACTCTCTGTTGATCATGTGACTGTAAAATACTCACAGACATCAGGAGCTTCGATATCGTTTCTGTCTCTAGTTCATCAAAGACGTTTAATGAATTTCATTGTTTCATGTTCTTCATTTGTCTCGTGGACGTCTCCTCCGTCTTCGCCTGTGGACGTTTCTCATCCTGGTTTTTCTTCTAGTTGTGTTTCGCTCCGTGCTTCCTGGGAGCGTTCCTCGGTATCTCTGGCGCTCTGAACGGACTGACGCTGGACGACAACATCACCAAGCTGAAGAGGGTAATTTGACTTTTAATTTGAAAATGAAATGTTGAGAAACTCTCAGGCTCTGGGTCACGTTTTTCTTTACCGGGGTTAAAGGTTCAGTGTTTGACCTGATGTGTCCTCTGCACATTTTGTATTCATGAGCGCTGCATTAAAAGCACCACACACACACACACACTCACTCACACACACACACACACACACACACACACACACACACACACACTGACCACCCACGGCCTCTATATGACGACGGACTGTGAACATAACTGAGAATTGCGTAACTGTAAATGAAAATGAATCACTGGAATAGAGAAAATAAAAAATACACTTCCAGACCACAAACCTGATATTCACTCGACAGTTTTGCTGAATCGTCAGTCGATTCAAATACAAATCGTGAATAACTGCGTTTAACTTGCAGAGGTTTCCACGTCTCGTCTCCCTGAGTCGTTTTAAACAACAGCGTGACCTTTACGCACGGACGGAACTTGGTGTTTAAACTCAAGACGTGACAGTAACTGACGCTGGACTCGGTCAGTTGTGCAGTAAACGATCGGTGAGTTTTATCTCACAACACGTGAAAATGAGAGAATGCAGGGAGGAAGTTTGGTTTTCCAGCGTCTGACCTCCAACTCTCACCTCCCATCATTATTAGAAAGTGTTTCCTGTGATGGAGGGAGAGGGAGGGGCCGTGGAAATAACCAGAGTGACTCATTCCTCTGTGTGTGTGTGTGTGTGTGTGTGTGTGTGTGTGTCAGGTCAGTGCTAACTGTCATCTTGTGCCAGCTGCTCAAACGTCACCGCCTTGCTTACCCAACACGCCGCTGATCATCATCAATTATTTACTAAAGGGGGCGCGGGCAGCTGAAAGGCCAAACTGGTAAATGTCAGAAAGGACAGAAAATAAATGACGAATGTGCTCATTACAACGAGCTCTGGCACCGAGGAAATGTGAGATGAAAATTAATGGAGCCGCCGACGGAGCCGCCGACCAATCAGACGCCCGCTTGATTAAAAGAGTTCCAGTCAAGTCTTCTCGATTCATCCTCCAGACGCTTCGAACGCCGTCTTGGTTTTGCATGTGTAGTGTTCCACATACACAATACACGAGTGATCATATCACGTTATTAGAGGCGGAGTTCACCTGGTCAGGTCACCAGCGAATCACAGACGAGAACAACCTCTCGCTCCCTCCAGCGTCTGGGAGCAAAGATTCTGACGAGCTCCTGACGTGCTGCTAATTTCACCTCAGGTGGCGAAGTCGCTTGTTCGGCCGTAATTGGAAAACAACTTCATCCGGAAAAAACAAAAAAAAATCGACCAGGGGAACATTGGCTCTGTGTTTTTTATATGTCGAGACATGTGGACGTGACCTTTAAAGAAGATGACACAGGGTTTTTAACGTTGGAAGATCGCGTGTTAACTGTGTTCTCTCGTTTTTACTGTGGAGTCAAAGAGACGGAGACTCATCCAACAAAAACAAGTGAAACACGATTTAATACATTTGAACTACATGAAATTTCTTTATATCTATATCTATATATTTTTATTCCTATTTCTATTTTCTTATTATTTTTCTCCATCTTAATGCTCTTCTGCTGCTGTGATGTCCAGATGTCCCCAGTGTGGGATGAATGAAGTCGATCTTATCTTATTTTAACCTCGACAGTTAAATATTTAAATATTTAAAGTTAGAGAAGGGAGACGACTGATTTGTAACTTGATGTAAAAGTAGAACATTTAAAAAAGACGTGTTGGCTTCAGTCACTGGAGACGTCGAACCAATGAGGTCAACGTTTCTTCATGTGTTTGTTTTTGAAGCAGGATTTTGCAAAAAGTACCAAAAGTGTTTTCAGTAAACTTGGTGACGTGTCAGAGAAGAACTCAGGATCTTGACATATTTAAACGAGCTCCTTGTTTTTCGGAGCTTCTTTCAGTTGAACTGTGTTTTCTTTACAGGACTACACCGACGCCCTCATCTCTAATTACTACGTAAGTTTTACGTCCTTGTATTATTATTATTTTTTGCACATGCTTGTCAATTAAATGTCTTTGTTTTCTTTAATAAACGTAGTGATTGAAATATATCCTCTCTTGAAGTGTAATATTTGTGTTTCGTGTGTTTTAAACTGCCCCCTGGTGGTTTCTGTTTGTCATTTCAGCTCTGGCCTCCAGTGCAGATCGCAAACTTCTACTTCATTCCTCTTCAACACAGGTGAATGTTTGAGTCAATGCACAGAAGCTTAATTTATCACGTTTATATCAAGTGCAAAGAACGAGAATGTAATTGTGATTTATTCTGAGACGGTTTGAAAGTTCAATCGTTATTATTATTATTATTATTATTATGGAAGCTATTTTCTTAAAGGAGACATATTCAGGTCGTTATATTCAGGTTGTGTTATCACTTGAAAAGATCCAGAAATAGAGGAAAGAGAAACTGATCAAGTATCGTACGTCTCCTTTAAAATATGCGTCAGTTGTGAAATTCTTTTCTGAGCTCATTGGACGTCGTATTCAAATATCCTACAGCCTGAACTTCTTCTTAACTTTAATAATCACGTGGATTTCTTCCGGCTCGCAGGTTGGCCGTGGTCCAGATTGTTGCTGTGGCCTGGAACTCCTACCTGAGCTGGAAGGCCAATAAGATGTGAAGGACGATCACAGTGCAGCCTGTTGGGTTGTTGTTGCTGATGCCGACGATTTTGCACACATTTTGTATTGTGTGTGTGTGTGTAACTTACTTTAGGCTTGTGATCGTCTTGTGATATTTGTGACGTGTAAAACTGAGTCATTGATAAAGGTCGAGTGAAAGTGCTCGTCTTCTCTGAATGACAAATTCACACTTGAAAGTCAAACTTGAATTTGTCTGTGAATGTTTGTTAATTATGGAAATGAGAATTGGTAGTGGACACTCACACACACACACACACACACACACACACACACACACACACACACACACACACACTCACTCACACTCACTCTAGCAGGGTAACTTTGCCATGTTTTGTTTCTCTATATTCAGATTTTCAGTATTTTGATGAATTTCTCGTAATATATTCCAGTTAATCTATCGTTTAATCTATTTTCTCTGTATGTGACTCCTCTGTGTACTTTTACTTTAGTTACTGTTTTCCAGCGTTTCCCAAAAAGTCTTTTTAACAGTCCTCAGGAAAGAGAACACAAAGGTTTTATATGTGTTGTCTTGTAAATGTAAAGAATCTGAGCGATAACTAAGCAAACAGTCTTTGTAGAGAACGTCACAACGTTTCCTCAGGTGACGAATATCTGACTGATGCTGAGTTCACGTCACATCGTTAATATGAGTTTTCAACAGCATTCAATTAAAACCACCTTATGTCTGTATGGCAGCCAGTTAGCATAGCTTAGCACAAAGACTGGTAACAAAGGAAAACAATTAGCAATAATAATCATATTACCTGTGAATAGATCCATGCTAGCAGTTTCCCCCTGTTTCCAGTCTTTGTGCTAAGCTAAGCAAACCAGCCGAGCACAGACATGAATGATTTCAATAAAAACCGATTTAAACTGCTGATTTAGTTCTCAAGACTTTTAAATAATTTTCTATCACAACAAAACAACAAAATAGACACAGGAAGTATAAAGTATGTAGTAATACATATTTAGTTATACCTTGTTAAACGTTTTAATATTAATATTAAAGTTCTCCTTGACGTGGAGTCGTCTGTGTTTGACCTCGCTAACTTTTGTAGCCAACTTTGCTTTGGATGGTTTGTGTTTGTTTGGACGGATGTGGAGGCTGTCGACCAAATTAACCACACACACACACACACACACACACACACACTCTTCAGGGAACAGTAAACAGAACTGTCGGATGAATCCTTTGACAATCTGCCAAACAGCCTCTTCTGTGGGATATGAAACATTTTAGTTTCAGTGATGATGCACAAAATGTGAGATTTGTGAGTTTTTCGATTTCTACATCTGTATGTGTGTAGATATTTTTATAGTCGGGGTTAAAAGGGTCTTCAGAATAAATATCATTGGATTTAAACGCTGCTTCGCTGTCTCAGTCGAATCTGATCCTGTGATTTATATACAACCACTTCAGCACCAAGGACAGCTCCGAGGAATCGGATGGCTCAGACCTGAGAAAAGTTTCAGTTTCTTCTTCGTTGATTAATTTAAATTCAGAAAAGATTCATTCTGCAGAAACAACAAAGAGAGAAACCAACTCAGGTTCATGAGGAAAGAAAAAACAAGACTTTCAAAAGGGAGGAAAGAGTCAAACCCACGTTCATTCTTTCATCCCTTCATCCTCCTTCCAGCTTCACCTCAACTCCTTCACTCAATGGGTTGATTGATTGATTGATTGATTGATTGATTGATTGATTGACTGACTTATTGATTGATTGATTGATTGATTGATCGATTGATTGATTGATTGATTGATTGATTGATTGACTGATTGATTGATTGATTGATTGATTGATTGACTGACTCATTCCCTCTGTGTCTCGACACTCGTCCACTTTGCAATCCGCTCGCTGAGCTCCGAGCTGTGACGTCAGAGGCGCAGGCTGCACGTATAAAACGCTGCGTCCTCTCGCTGCGCTGCGCACTGGGACTTCGGAGACTCACCGGAAACCTCAAGTTTTCAGCCGCAGCACCTGGACACAGCGACGTGAGTGTCGCACCTTGTTTCAGTTGTTGAAGTTTAGTCTTTGAATCTTCCTGCAGGAGGACGAGCAGCAGCTCCACTGTTCTCCTGTGACTTCTTACATTCAGCTCTCGTGCACGTGTGAAGTCAAAGTTATTCGGGGAAGTGATGATGAACTGTGTTTCATCTCAGTCTAGCAGGATTTCAGTGACAGGATTCATTCGACCTGTATTTTAACTCGGGAACACACTTTTACATTTAAAGACAGAAACAAGAAACATGTGAATTTCTCTTTCAGTGAAATGACACTAACTTTCCTCAGGGTTCAGTTTGAGAAGCTTCTGCATTTAAATGTGAGTTTGATCTTTTCCTCAACATTTCTCTAATGACGAGTCTCATTTCAATTCCAGGACATGAAGCCAGTCTCCCTCCTCCTGCTCCTCTCCTCCGTCCTCCTCTCATCGCACCTCCGCCCCGCCGCCGGCAGACCGCGCTCCCTCCCCGGCTGGCTGGACGGCAGCGGGCGCCTCCAGACGCAGCGACTGGACGAGGAGCTGCTCAGAGCGGCCGCCGCCGGGGACAGCACCGCCTCGGACCTGCTGAGCGACAACATCCTGAGGTTCCTCCGGAGCAGGAACCCGGAGCATCTCCACCTGCCGCCCGCCGAGCAGGAGGAGAGCGAGGAGGAGGTGCTGAGGACCGCGGCGCAGCTGCTGAAGCGCAGCGAGGATCCGCCGCTGTCCATCGACCTGACCTTCCACATGCTGAGGAATATGATCCAGATAGCCGAGGATGAGCGCAAGAGGGAGCAGGCTCTGCTCAACCGCAAAGCGCTCGACGAGGTCGGGAAGTAAAACTTTACTTTAACCGCTGTCTCAGCATTCGAGACCTCTGACATTAGTGTGTGTTCGTGCGCCTGCCTTCCCCTCCGTGCCATTTTACGCACAGATGGTGCCAAATTACGCACCACAGCATATGCGAGTAAAATGTAAAACCTTAGGTGTTATTTAAAAACTTTGCTGGAGAATATGGAAATGGACTTCTCAGACACCCTCACCCTCTCACATCCACTGGCTTCACCCCTTCCTCACCCCCTCAATCACCCCATCCCCTCAACACCGGACTCCTGGTGGACAAAAGGTACCAACTGTCCCTCATCACTGGTTTTCACACTTCTTTATAATTTCTGTGCACAGTCAAGAATGAATTTCTTTCCTGGCTCATGTGTGACCACAGAGGATGGTTTAACTAAAGAATCAACTCATTTGCATTTGAATTAATCACTGGGTTAAATTAAAGTTTGACATTTGATTAAACTTGAGCAGAACCCATTTCTCGTCAGTGTGGCGAGTGACCCTGGTGTTAATTGGGATGGTGATATTTACCCTCGGCAATAAAATCAGTCTGAATAATGAGAGTTACATTATGGATCATGTAATTACTGAACCTGAACTCAGACACATTTTCCCTGATGAATTAAAAGAGGCTGAACTCTGACCTTTTCACAAAAAGGTTACCAAGTTCCATTCTTCATTTATTTGACCCTCGACTGAATCTATAAATGAACGTAGACAAATCTACAGATTCAGACTCAAACTTATCAGATTATTTCTTATTGGTACCAAGAGTTCACCTGTTTCAAGCCTAAATTTGACTTTCTGGTGCTGAGGAGGATTTAAAAAACTTTGTTTTACATCATTGCTCCGTGATCTAATGTCACAACCCCTCGTTTGTCCTGTGAGGCTGAGGAACACCTGACGTTCGCTCCTTTGTCCGACGCCATCAGCCTCCTTTTGTCCTCTCTCTGTCCCCCATGTTGAGCAGCATCACCTGTACTGTACCAACTGTAGCATGCAAACCTACATTTAAAAAAAAAACAACAAAAAAAGCTTTATTTTACTGTGTGAACGTTCACGTCTGACGCTGATCATGTTCTCTTTGTTTTAGCAAATGAAAAAAAAAATCTGCTTTTTGCCATTTATATTTTATAATAAAAAAGTTTGGAGTAAAAGAAAAAACATTCTCATTTGATTCTGTTGTAAATGAACTAAGAGATTATAAAACACAACTTTATAATACTGTCCTCATCCATCACTTGATGACAAGTTATGACGTATTTCTAGTAACGGCTGAATCCTGTTATTTCTGGTTATATATTAATTTCTGTGGCACAAACATCAGGTTAAATTCTCCACATCCACAGAAGAAACATTGAAATAAGATCAAATTCTTGAGCAGATGAAAGCAGCTAAGTGGTTTTATCTGTTTTTGGATTTTTGGGGGTTTCCATGTTTCCAAACTTTCTGATTTCAGTCAGTCTGTGTTCTTTCACTCCACAGCAACACTTTGTATTTAAAGCAAAGCAGCAGTGTCAAAGCTTCAGCTGAGAGTTTATTCATTTTAATGTTTTGCCGGTGATTCAGAATGAAAATGAAACTGACCTTTAACGGCCGTGATTAGAGAAATGATTTAACTGGAACGGCCGTCATTAGAGTCCCCTATGTCACAACGTTAAAGAATCGTGATCAGCACCAAAACGTAATGAGATCTTCTCCGACTCATTCAACATGTTTTAATCAAGTTTCGTTGAAATCTGTTCGTGTCATCCTGCTGATTAACACACAAACCTTCAGACAGAGGCAGGCTAGCAGTTCCCCCCTCTTTCCAGTCTTTGTGCTAAGCTAAGCTAACCAGCCAAGTACAGTACGAGTGATTTAATATAAATCATTTTCCATCAAACTGTATCACGGCTGAAATTCACAACCGAAGAATGAGACAGTCTCCGGAAGTATAAAGTATCTACAAGTAAATATTAAGTTATACTAATGAATTCTATAATATTTAATCAGTAATTATTTCCTCTTGAGGTAAAGTCAACAAATACTTTTGCAGCCACCATGAATTATCTTCTGAGAGATCAATGAAAAAGTAGAGAATACTTCAGGATATTATATATTATATATTATAGCAGTCATGTAAATCAGATGAGCTGTTTTTTGAGTAATCCTTCAAACTGTTTGTTGACTGTTTCAAATGTGTCTGTCGAGTTTTCTCGCTGCATCGTAAACGTTTGTGAGGATCAGATCAGAAACGATGGAAGTGACGGTTAAAAGTGAAGAAACGTCCTCGGTGAGTTCTGTGACTCAGTCTGAACTGTGGGTGTGTTGGTGATTCTTCGTCCTCTGTTCATTGTGTTTTACACTCGACCCCACATCACTGAGATCACAGGCGGACGTGTGTCATCAAACTACAAACTTTGTTCTTCTGGAAAACTCCTCAACGGGAGCTCGGAGGTTAACGAAGCAGCAAACGTTTTGGTCATTTTATTTCTTTATTATCAGACAGAGAATTCTATAAATTAGCCGGAGTTAAGCAAAGTTAAATTGGCTTTACTATATATATATTTATGCAAAAGACAAACAAACGTTCTCAAAAGTTATAGAGCTCAAAAAAATGCATCCAGGAACAGTGAAGGAATAAAAACCAGATAGAAACATTTCCATCGTTTGAGTTTTTTCAGGGAAAAGTTCGTTAAAACACGTAATTTATTTATTATTTTAATGAACATATTATCTGTTGATCCTCACCCACCTCCTGCCTCCCTTCACTTCATCTCTCTCTCTCTCACACACACACACACACACTCTCTCTCTTTCAGAATCCCCCCCGCAAACAAAAACAACATTTCCATACGAACAGTAACACGATTATCTGCCCACTCATTTTTACATCCTGCTCAGCCTCTTCACTCATTCAGTTTTTGTATCCATTGAAAAAAAAACAGGAGAATTCTCTCTTTCTCTCCGGTAACTTATTTAAAACGAGTAATAAAAACTGAACACAACTCAAACACTGCGGACTTTCCAGAATCCTCTGCTACATCAGGGCTTTAAATCCTGAATGAGAACGCGTGAAGAAAACCTTTTCCCTCCCACAGAGTTAAATCCACTATATACGTTTCCTGTCAGCTATACATAGGCAGATATATTTACACACAATGATCTGGGTGTTAACGCAGAAAACAAAAGAACACGATGTGGGAGGTAAAACTGCGGCCAAGTCGGACTTCCTGCATCTGAAGGAGGAAACAGACACATGAGGTTTATGAATGAAGGATTTCTGACCATCCACTTTTTCTTGAATCACTCTCTCTGTACTGAAGACTTTTATATTTGGATCTGCCTCAGGTCGGCCTTGGACCAGCTCGACTTCTCTTCCTCCTCTTCATCACTTTAACGTTACTGACTCGACTTCCTCCCAGGAGACCTTGTGCTTTGTCGTTGCAGATCCAGGATCTCGAGGACCAGGGATCGTGATCCTGAATGATGGAGGCCGCTGATCGTGGGTTGTCATATATGTAAAATATCTCTCCTCGTTTAAAACTTATAATCAAAGTGTGATTGTGATCGTGGCTTCTGTACGAATAAAGTCTGACTGACTGACTGATGTCGTGGCCTCTCGAACACTGTGTGGATCCAGTTCCTGGAGGATTATGATAATCCTGCGTCTCGTTCCCTCGGGGCCGCAGCAGGGACCTGCAGCGAAGAACAAAAGACGAGAGAAGATGAGATCAGTGTGATCGTCCCACGTCTTCGTAATCACCAGTGACTCTCCCAGGCCTCATGTCCCTGCTCAGCGGAGGAGGACGATGCTGTTGTTGTTGTTGTTGTTGTTGTTGTCGTCTTTGACTGAGTCAGCATGAAGACACTGAAGCCGTCCCCTCCAGAGTGGACGAGGGGAATCCTTCCCTCTCCGCTCACTTTACATAAGCGGCCTTGATGAGGGATGATTTCACACGTCCGCTCTGCTGCTGCGCTCAGACTGTGCAGATCTCCCAACATTACAACTCATCAGCCGCCCGACAAGAACATCTATAAACAGGCTCGGACACGTTTGACACTATTTCAGTTTCCGTCAGTAGAGTTCGGCCTTTTGCATTTTTGGAGACTTCAAGATTTCCACTGGAAGATTTTTAGCTTTTTGAATCGTGTGCCGGCTCCGCAGTGGAACTAATACCACAATTTATTCTTCCAAACTGAAACGAGCTGATACGAAGAGATCCTTAAAGCTTGGGTTGGTAATCCTGGGGAAAAAAGCAAGAAAATCCCGCCCCCTCCATTCATTGGTCTGACAGTCAAAGCTCCGCCCCCTAAAACTCATGAACACGCTGCGGTCAATGAAAACCGGATCAATTCATCCAAACACGTCAGCGGAGAAATCCAGAACAGAAACAAACAGCTCGGAGAGAGTGAAGGAAACAGAAACCTCTGGTTGGTCTTAGTATCTGCAGCCAAAGTCCAGTTCTGACTCTTCTCCAGCGTCTTCAGAATCCTCTTCATCTCCCACACCTGAAAACACACGCACACGCACACGCACACACACACACACACACACACACAGAGTAAACAGGTCTATTCTGAACCTGTGTAAATGGAGACTGAAGGAAATTGTGTCTTCTCCTCGAGATGTTTACTGAGTGAAATTTATTATTTATCAAACGTGCAGTTTTTCAGTAGAACAGGACGTTTAACCACATTTATTCTCGACGAAGAGTTTGAACCTTTAACATTTGGTTTTCTCCTCAAAGGGAACAAACAGATCACATCCAAACGTCACCTCTGTGAAACGTTAAATCTGTTTTTAAACATGTAGATTTTCTTCTCCTCCCTCAAACTGTCTGTAATTCCGACCTCTCCCCACTTGTGTCACACACCAGAGCAGAAGTCCATTCTCTGTAACATGTCCATCAGGTCGTCAGTGTCGATGAAGAAGTGGCTCATGCTCTCGCAGCCGAGCTCCGGACGCTCCACGTTCGAGGCCCTCGCCGCCTCCGTCATTCTGTCAACACACACAACGCACACGGGTGAGAAAACTCCACGGTTAGAGTCGCATCCTTTTATTTCATTCATGGACCAAACGCGTTAATGTCGTAATGTTTACGTCTGTGTGCGTTTGTTGTGTAGCAGGATTACGTAAAACGATGGATGACGTCTTTCAGTCACTGTTCGGAAGCTGTTAGATTCAAACATCGTTCCATCAAACCACACACAGATAAATATTGAACCAGGTGAACGTCTGTGTCACAGAGTATTGATGTCGACGTATCGATAAACCAAACACACAGGGATCTCCGGTCCAGGTCCCGTGAGGCTGCTCGCTGACGCCAGCGTTGTTTGGTTTTTCGATCTCTTGGCAGCAGGTGGATCATCGTCTACATAATATATAAGAAACGACTAAATGTCCGACACAGACCGCTCACACACACACACACACACACACACACACACACACACACACACACACACACACACACACACACACACACACACACACACACACACACTAACATGGTCTCATGTGCTATAAACGGTCCAGTGGCTTTTATCAGGTTTTAAATAAATTAGGACTCGTTTTTTTTTTCCATCTGTCCTTGTTTGATGTATTTTAATTTGTGTTTGATATGATGAACTATGGGGCCAGTGTGTCTGTGTGGAGAGTTGTGTATCTGTAATTAGTGTGTGTACTCAGATGTGTAAATTAATCTGTGTGTCACATGTTCACATGTGTGTCGAGGATGAAGAACTGTCACTCAGTTCAATGATCCAAGTAAAAGTACAACACGAGCATATTTTCAATAAAAGGAATTGAATTAAGTTGATGTTGGACTTTGTACTTTAGTGCCAAATGAAAACAGTTGATTGGAATTTGTCAAGAAGAAAACACACATGTACTCAGTATGAAATCTGAATCTGATAATAACTCCTAAAATAACTAATAAACCCTCTGTGTATTAAATAGATAAGAAACTGGCTCCTGCAGGAGACAAGTTCTATTCTCCTTCTCATCATTTATTAAAGATTTCATGCAGAATCAGAGCTTCAGCTCAAAACAACGAGGACTTACTTCTCCAGTATGACGGTGGCGCTCTGTGAATGAGACAGAACAGAGACAAGAATCAGATTGTGCTTCAGTTCTCGGTGTCAGCGTGTGAAATACAAACTTTAGGAAACGCTGCCAAACATGAAACAGCTGAGACACCTGAGTCTCAGAACGCACAGTGTTTCCTCCGAGGAGACGCGGCGACGCAGACGTGACGCATCGACAGTAAAGACGCTGGATTTAGAAACAACAACAAGGACGGAGCGAACTGTGTGATGTCAAGTGTTCGTTCAGGTATTTTTTAATCTGATTTAAACGTATAGGGGTGGGACATGATGATGATGCTCGCTGAGTTCGAGGCACCGAGCATCAGTCTAAAGACGTAATAACAGCACACGTATGTGACGTGTCACCCACCTGTATGAACAGAGGCATGTGCGTCTCCTCCATGGACTGAATGGCCGACTCCACCAGCATGACCGCGGCCTCCAGGTGGTCGCTGTGCCGCTGGATGAGGCATCGAAGGTGTTTCAGTTTGTCGTCCTGTTGTTTGGAAATCTGACCGACCAGCTCCTGCTTCCGCTCCTCCAGGATGGACACCAGGCCGTCGAAGTGGTCGGCGAGCTGCTCTCTCTGCCGCTTACCGTTCTCCTGAAGGTCGAGAGAAGTTCTAAAGTCGAACGTCACTCAGAGGAGCTGATAACTCGGCCAAGGCCCAACAATCAAACACATTCAGAAATATCAGTTCCCTGCTTGATGTTTTTCAGTAAGATTCATGAATTATTCCCTGAGAAACGTCCGGTTAAAGAAAATGTAAATGTAAATTAATTAATTCCTGGATTAGTTTTTCCCTGAGCCAATCCCATCAACAGTTCAAAACACAGATGAAAACACAAACTTCTAAATTCAGAATTAAACTTGAAGCTTCTCTGTTTTGTTTGTTGCCATTTCTACGTTTTCAGTTTGTCCGTCCATCTTGTGAACGTGTGAATTCAACAAACATTCAGTTTGACTCACGGAAGAACTGCTTAGAATTTGCTGGATGAAGGTCAAGGGTCAACGTGACCTTACCAAAAAACTTTTTGGAGAACTCTCACATGAGTGTGTGTGTGTGTGTGTGTGTGTGTGTGTGTTTAACCTCCACGGTGCGGCGTATTTCCTCTATCTGAGAGATCACTGTCTGCATGTTGTCGTTACTGGCGACCAGGTTTGCGATGCCGTCGCGCAGCTCCGCCTGAAAACACAACAAAACATTTCCGGCGTTTATTCCAGAACAAACTCTGAAAGTCTCGATCGTCTGTATGCGGATCCACACGTCGGTGAAAAGTTTCCAGACTCAACTTAAAAGAGGAAATGCACTCTGGGTACTTTCTAATGAGCACGTCTGCCACCACCCGAAGCACCATGAGTCACCGGCCTGCATCGGTTTTAAAGCTTCACACGACCTCGTCTTCATCACTTCATTGTAAAGTGTCATCAGAGAAAAACAAACACGCCGTTCTTCTGTGTTTGAGCCAAAAATCAAACCACAGGCTTTCGTTTTAGAAATTATCTGTTTCATTGAGATGATCAACAACTTTCCTCGGCCTCATCTGAATTTCAGATGAGTGATTCAGAGTCAGAGTGAGAGATGGAGACGTCCGGCCTGAAATGTCAACAAAGCCAAATGCTCGATACGACACCGGACGCTGCCGCCGCCGCCGCCGCCATCTGCATAACAACACTGCTGCACTTTGTCTTTGTGTGACTTTGTGAGTCCACACGATGAGCAAATAGAGTTTTGCTGAAATTAAAACTTCTCTTCTGCAGATGTTGTGTTTACGTTTGATCCATAAGCAATATTCAGTTTCATAATTCTATGTATTTGTTGGTATTTAAGGACGAAACATTTGATTTTGCATTAACACAATGTTAAGCGTCACTGTAACTGACCTTTAAATGGCTGCAGGACCAGATGTGTGCAGATGTGTCCTGTGCTTACACGTAAACTATCCAAGCAGGAGAGGAAACAGAAATAGACGAATAGAGGATTTTAAAGGAAGAAAGAGATTTGGTTCATAAAGGCCATCGTCTGCTATAAGGAGTCACCACCAACATGCACACGCACATTTTGGAGTTCGGACCGTTGTATAAAATTCTGTCATCGTCCTTTGACCTTTAAACAAGCTCCCGCTTCAGTCGTGAGGTTGTTCGACTCCTTGGGAACCTGCCAGCTCACCTCCGCCGACCGTGACTCTGCCTGAATCCTTTGGTTTCGGTCGGTGTCTTTGTCTGACGGTGAAGTGAGGGGGAGGGGGAGGGGTGTCATGTGAGGTGAACCAGAGGAAACTGTGTGAGGTCATAGGTCACGAGACAGTTCGGGGTCACAACAGGTCAAATCATCTCACTCTCACGGAGCTTAATGAAATTTCAACCTTCAGTGACTCTGACTTTGATTTACTCCACAGAAATTAGAATAAAACTAAAAGTATCATGAGGGATTCTAACAGCTGAAGTTGAATATTTTATATTTGGTTCAAGTTTTTAATGTCACGATGACCTGCAGAGAGTCAGAATCACCTTCTGAGTCGTGTAGACGCTGCTGAGCGGAGCCACGTCACAGTCTTTGTGTCGTCCGAACACTTTGCACATGGAGCAGGTCGGCGTCTGACACGAGAGACAGTAGATGTTGATCCTCTCCTCTTCGTGTTCGTCACACATCAGCTGCTGCTGCTGCTGCTCTGGCTTCGTGTTTACAGGCCTGGAGGAGAGAAAACACTTTTAAAGGTGAATTTACAGGATTGTTTTTATTGAACCTTCTCCGGACGCTGACCTGGAGCAGGTTTTAGGAGAGGTTTCGGGTTTGTTGGTCGTTTGTTGTGACTCTAGTTGAGGGTTAAGGGCAGAAGATGTCACACCTTGTTAAAGTCCTATGAGACAAATTGTGATTTTTGAATTTAGGCTATACAAATCAAATTTGATTGATTGATACCATAGTATACTGTAGTATTGTATAGCACAGCATGATATAGTGTAGTGTAGTAAAGCATAGTATGGTATAGTATTGTATATCATATAGCATAGTACATTATATTATAGCATGGTATATTGTAGTATAGTACAGCCTAGCATAAGTACAGTATACCTCAGAATGACATTAATTCATGTGTTTTCTCAGATGTGTCATTTTGAACATGTAACATACGAGTTCCTTTCACTGCCAAACATGTTATAATCACATAAGCAGAAATAAGCTGCTCCTCAACGCCGCCCTGACAGACCTCAGTCCGAAGTCACGCTGGCACATGCACACACGTATGTGCTTGGTACCGGGTCGGCATGTGTAGCATCCTGAAAAAGCAAAAAGGCTGCTCAGAGGAATCCAGAGTTTATGCAACATCACGGCCCTTTGTCCTCTGACGTACATGTCCGCGACACAAACGATGATTAAGTCATGAGAAATGTTTCCACCCGTGAAAAAATTATGAGAAACTACAAGTTGCAGAACATTTGTGAACGTCGCTGTGAACAATCGCGTCTATTTTAGCCCACACAGATAATGAGGAGACCCCTGCCCTTCTGTCTCTAATGGATGCCAACGTCTCTCTCTCTCTCTACCAGTGACTCATTTAGCTTCTATTTCCGTGTGAACGTGACAGAGCGGAGTCGTAGTAAATGTGCACACTTATAAAACGGAGGTAGATGCACTGAAGAGGTTGTTACGTGGAACATGTTGTTATTATATTATTTATGCAAACTCATCTGAAGCTTCCGATCGACCTCTCGTCTCTTCTCTCGTTTAAAACTACAGCTCACATGCATACGCTCGCACTAATGTGTTGTTCCACGTGTTTGAATCTATGATTCCTGTGATTGTTTCAATTAAGTTCTTTGTTGTGTTTATTTATTAATACTTTGTTGTGTAGTGTTTATTTGCTGATTATGAATTTCACCTGAATTTCGATGACACGGCCTCATTAGATAAAGATTAAATTAAAACAACATACATCTCTAAGTTGTACCGGACATTAGACAACAGAGTGTATCAACAAAGATATAATTATGATAATAACTTTATTTGTACAGCACTTATCTAAACGAGGTTTCAAAGTGCTTCACACAGACGTTATCATCAGTCATCATTTACTAGGAGACACTGGCTCCTGTTCATTTAATTGTCTCCTGTGAAGAAAGTGAGTAAAGTAAGTTTGTTTCCCTGCTGATGAAGAATTGAATGAATGAAGAATGAAGCACTGCCCCCTGGTGGTTGTCACTCAATGTTACAATTACAATCCAGTGCTATTAAGAGTTTTCAAAACCTGCAGCCTGATAAAAACCTTATCCCTAAATTGAACCGTGACCAATTCATACCCAACCCTAACCTTAAACTAACCACAGCTCAGAAAAGACGTTTTACCACATTAGGACTGAGCTTTGGTCCCCGTGAGGTCCACTGGTCCCCGTGAGGTCCACTGGTCCTGACGTGGTCAGTGTTTAAAGATGTAACAAGAGGTTTAACGAGTGCAAACACACACCTGGAGGACTCCTGCTGCCTGTAGATGTCTATGATGTTCTCCACCAGCAGGTTCCTCTGCAGACCGAACACTCCGTGCCGGTCCAGCACCACCTCGTGGCGACATGACGGACAGCGGAAACGGCCGCCGCTGGCAGCGATGCTAGAGGAGCCGCGGGTCTGCCACAGAGGGTTAGCTGCCTGAGAACAGAGGACGAGTATGAGGAACACAGGGAGTGAGTCGTGGCCTCGAGCACAGGAGGCGACCTCATCAGATGAGAAGTTTTAGGTGGAGTGCACCTTTAAATTTATGAAAAACAAGGATGTCAAAATCTGCTGGAGAACGCTGGAGCTCACCTGGAACATGTCGTTGGCACACTTGCGGCAGAGGTTGTGCTGGCAGGGCAGGATGACCACAGGTTTGGAGAACATCTCCAGGCAGACGGGGCAGATCAGCTGCTTCTCCAGGTTCTCCATGGTGGCTCCGCTGCCGGCACCGGGCCCCGAGCTGCCTGCTGGGGGGGGCCTGAAGCCGAGGGCAAAGTTCATCGCCTCCGAGGGCAGAGAGTGAAGTGTCAGAGGAGACAGGAGAGGATAACGAGTGGAGGCTTCCAGAAACACGAGGTGGAGGATATTCCAGCTCTGTCTTCTAGAGTTCAGGCCTCATGCAGCTCAGTGTTCA